CCATCTCAGACGTGTGTGCTAAGTGGGGTTAAGATGTATTGTCCTGTTTTTCCACAATACACAGCAGTTCCAGCTGCATGGCTTGGGCTGGAATCGTTCACACTGTGTACTGTGATGAGGCCCAAGACAAATCACTTGTGACTACAACTACAAGGACAGGTGCAGTTCCCAGGGGCGATGCACTGGAAGCCATTTTTTCAGGCCATTGATGAATATCCTTCCTATGTTAGAGCCAAAACTCTTTAAAATAACACAAAGGGGGGCCAGCATTGTGGCACAGTGGCTTAAGCTCCCACCAGAGATGCTGGCATCCCATGTAAGCGCCAGTTCAAGTCCCGGCTGCTCCACTTCCCGTCCAGCTCCCTGCCAATGCTCCTGGGGAAGCAGCAGCAGATGGCCCCGGTGCTTGGACCCCTGCACCCGCATGGGAGACCTGAAGGAGTTCTGTGCTCCTGGCTTTGGGCAGGCCCAGCCTTGGCCATTGTGGTCAATCCCTGGTCACCTGCCCAATCCAGGTCTCCCACATGGGTGTCAGGCACCCAAGTATTTGAGCTCCACAGCTGCTTCCCAGAGCATGAGCTGGAAGCTGAATTGGAAGTCAGGGGCGGGACTCGATCCAAGGCACGCTGGCCTGGGATGCGGGAATCCCAAGTGAGGGCTTACCTTGCTTCATTGACTCACCTCATTAGCAACCGATTTTGTCACTCAGTATTGGGTTAGAGAAATCAGCAGCTTTTTTTTTTTTCTTTTTTTAGGATTTTGAGAGGTAGAGTTACAGACAGAAGCAGAGAGAGAGAAAAAGATCTTCCATCCACTGGTTCACTCCTCAAATGGCCACAACAGCCAGAGCTGGGCTGATCCAGAGCCAGGAGCTGCTTCTGGGTCTTCCACGTGGGTACGGGGACCCAAGCACTTGGGCCATCTTCCACTGCTTTCCTAAGTCATAGCAGAGAGCGGGATCGGAAGGAGGGCAGCTTCAGACTCCAACCAGTGCCCAGATGGGATACTGGCCTCCTGTGCTACAGCACCAGCCCCAGTCAGAGCAGTTTTCATTGTGAAACCGTGTTGGTTAACCATCTGTTGTCTTAAAAATGTTTTCATTTCTAAGACAACATTTCATTTCATTTCATTTTTGAATGATTCCTTCTGTATGGAAAAACCCCAACCAGGCATCTCCTAAAGAGGAAAAGCAGATCAGTGATTTCCAGGCGCTGGGGGAGGGAGTAGCATGGGGGAGGGGCTTCTGAACAGGTGTAGCGTGTCTCTCGGGGGTGAAAAGTGTTTTTGGAACTACACAGAGCGACTGTTGCACAGTATGCCAGATGAAAGCCACCGAGTTACGCCCTGGAGAATGGGTACGATGGCGACGCGTGTGTTATATGAATTCTACCCCAATGGAAAATGCAGTACAGGTGTGAGACAGGTGCAACAATCGGCTCCCATAACCTGCACTGCATCCCTTCCTGAACAAAAATGCTTACTGGTTGCCTTGGCTGTTTCCAGGTGTACAATTATATGACTACACATAGATACATTTTATATATATATATATAACAGGTAATATATATAATCGTATGCATACATGTAGATATGTAATATGTATGTACATAAATATGTAAGGCTCAGTTCACCTAGTAACATTTATTATGTTTTAAGAAAGCCCCACCCTGGATTAGTTTCTTGGCCAAATTATTATGTAGTTTCTTCATATAAAAATAGAACTACAGCCGGCGCCGCGGCTCACTAGGCTAATCCTCCACCTTGCGGCGCCAGCACCCCGGGTTCTAGTCCCGGTCGGGGCGCCGGATTCTGTCCTGGTTGCCCCTCTTCCAGGCCAGCTCTCTGCTGTGGCCAGGGAGTGCAGTGGAGGATGGCCCAAGTGCTTGGGCCCCGCACCCGCATGGGAGACCAGCAGGAAGCACCTGGCTCCTGGCTCCAGATCGGCGCAGTGCCGGCCGTGGCGGCCATTCGGGTGGTGAACCAATGGAAGGAAGAGCTTTTTCTCTGTCTCTCTCACTGTCCACTCTGCCTGTCAAAAAAAAAAAAAAAATAGAGCTACTTGTAACATTTCCCTGTGAATTTGCCATTTGTGCGATGCTCGGCAAGCAAAACCTTTCACTGTGCTTTCCCGTATGGCAGCCTCAAGTGACTTCACAGAGCCACAGCTGCTCTTCCAGACCCTTCACAGAGGCAGCCGCCCGGCCTCCTTGTCATCCTCCCCTGCTTCCCCCGTGTGGCGGGGTTTTCTGCAGTTCCTAGAAGCCCGTGCAGCCAGGGGTGTCCTCGGGGACACGTCCTCCGCTCACCAGGAGATGTGCAGGGCGTGGCGGGTTCTGCGGTCCGGAGACGGCCACAGCCGTGTGCATGCTGCTGCACTGGATCTTCGGAGTCACCCTTCTGCCATCAGGCGGGGACAGGCTCTGTGCCTCTCCCGAGCCCCACCACCTGTCTCGACCAGCAAGGGAATGTGACAGGGGTGAGCTGGCCGGACGCATGGCTTCCACCCGCCTCTTTCTCTACCTCTCTCCCCTTGCCTTTGGAACCCAGGCCTTTAAAAAAAAAAAAAAAAAGGTTTATTTGTATTTCTTTGAAAGGCAAAGTGACAGAGGGCCAGATAGAGACAGAAAAAGATCTTCCATCTGTGGGTTTACTCCCCAAACGACCACACCAGCCACGGTTAGACCAGGCCACAAAGCCAGGAGCCGGGAACTCCATCCTGATCTCCCACATGGGTGGCAGGGGCCCAAGTACATGGGCCATCTTTTGCTGCCTTCCCAGGTGCATTTGCAGGGAGCTGGATTGGAAGTGGAACACTGGGGACTTGAAATGGCATTCTGATACACGATGCCAGCAGTGCAGGTGGTGGCTTAACCTGCTATGCCCTAGCGCCAGCCCCAAGGACCCCTGTCCCTGTGCGGCAGCCCCGAGCAAGACTCGAGCGGACAGCCGACAGCAACCCCTACACATGGGGAGGCACGGGCCTGCAGGGTGGAGTCACCCACAGAATGTTCTGTGTACTGTCCTGTATGGTAACTTCACATCACACAAGGCTGTCGAACTCTTGTATTTATCTGCTTATTGGTTTATATGAAAGGCAGGAAGACGGAGTGACAGCGAGACAGATCTGCCAGTCGCTGGTTTACTCCTCTGTGCCCACCACAGCCCAGGCTGGGCCAAGGCAAAGCCAGGAGCTTGGAATTCCTGTGGGTCTCCTACGTGCATGGCAGGAACCATCACCACTGTCTCTCAGGGTTCAGAAGCTTCCATTTGGTGTGTTGGGACCTGCATGTACACCCTATTGCCTATTTCTGCACAGCAGGCACTTTAAAAAAAAATATAGCTCTTCTGGGCCGGTGCCGCGGCTCACTAGGCTAATCCTCCACCTTGTGGCGCCGGCACACCAGGTTCTAGTCCTGGTCGGGGCGCTGGATTCTGTCCCGGTTGCCCCTCTTCCAGGCCAGCTCTCTGCTGTGGCCAGGGAGTGCAGTGGAGGATGGCCCAAGTGCTTGGGCCCTGCACCCCATGGGAGACCAGGAGAAGTACCTGGCTCCTGCCATCGGATCAGCGTGGTGCACCGGCCGCAGCGCGCTGGCCGCGGCGGCCATTGGAGGGTGAACCAACGGCAAAGGAAGACCTTTCTCTCTGTCTCTCTCACTGTCCACTCTGCCTGTCAAACAAACAAGCAAACAAAATATATATAGCTCTTCCATCCACTGGTTCACTCCCCAAATAGTTGCAATGGCTGGAGCTGCACCAATCCAAAGCTAAGAGCTTCTTCCAGGTCTCCCACATGGGTGCAGGGCCCCAAGCACTTGGGCCATCTTCCACTGCTTTCCCAGGCCATAGCAGAAAGCGGGATCAGAAGAGGAGCAGCTGGGACTCGAACTGGTGCCCATATGGGATGCCGGCACTGCAGGCTGAGGCTTAGCCCACTACGCCACAGCACAGGTCCCTAGAACACTAATAAAAGTATTTGCTAATCCAGTAATAAGCTTTTGCATGTTCAGTTCAGGGGGAGTGCACTCGGTGGTATTAAATACACCAGAATTTTGCAGCAGAAAAGCACGTGTCCCAAGATGACATTCTTGGATGCCACTGTCAAAATACCATCTGACGGCAAAGAATTGCAGGAATGATTCAGCTTCTTGAGTACTTAGTGAACCTTTCTCTTCCAGTGTTCTATACCAGCCCTCAGGATCCTGTGAGGTAGATCAGTTTCCATTCTAATTTGAATAAGCAGCCAGCCCTCGACGCTACTGACGCAGGTGGTGGTGTGGCACGGGCTCTGCCTCTGACCCAGCGTGGAATGTCTCAAGTGCCTGTGTCCCCGCCCCTACCTGGGGGTCCAGGATGGAGCTCCTGGCTTCGCCCCTCCTGTTGTGGGAATCTGGGGAGTGAACCAGCAGATGGAAGACCTATCTCTTGCTCTTCTTTCAAATAAATTGATAACCTTTTTAAAAATACTTAGGGTTACTAAAATTTAAAAATGTAAAAAATACAGATAATCTTATTTCAAATCAAATATGTGCTTATAGCGTTTGCTAGGTGCGCTAAGTGTGCGTAGTGGAAAATGATGAGTTTGGATATTTTGAGGAGTCAGCCAGTTACAGAGAATCACACACCCCTAGCTTGGATACCAGTTCTTTTATGAAACAAAGCTGGAAGGGACTCCTGTGGCTGATTTTCCCCTTGGGATATCTGGGTGTGGTTTATTTGAGTGGAATAAAGATAAGCAAGAAAATCTTTTACAACAAAAATTCCTGGATCTTACCAACAAGCCTAAGGAAGGAGGAAAAAAAAAAAAAAAAAAAAAAAAAAGGCTGCAGACCTAACCTAGCCCTGTTTGCTTCTACGCGTGCGTGTATTGGACTTAATCCAGGTTAATAAAAATAACGCCGCAGGAGAGGTATGGGCGGTAGGATATTGAGGCTACTGGCTACCGGCATCTTAGTGGTTGAAAGAACATAAAAACATGAAGGCGGAAGGCAAGCAGCAAGCAGTTATGAAACATAACAAGCTCCCTCGGTCTTTATTAGTGTGAAGGAAGCTAGAATCTAACAACAATTCCCCACATATGGTTCAAAGACAAAGGCTTCTTAGTTATTCTGCGTTTGCTCCTTTGAGGAAGTGAGAAAAAAAACCAGCTGTATTGGGACCCATGTTTATTTTCCGTTAAAACCCCATCCATTAGAAAATGTCTCATTAAGCCGTAAAAATGGGGGAAAATGTTATTCCCTAAAAAAAAAAAAATGCTTGTTTCCTGTGGCACCTTGGATTCCGAGGTCAGTGTGACAAGGACACTTAGAAACACCCACCATCCAGGCCCTGTGTTCGAGTTCAGGACGTGACCCATCGCTGTCCTGTGCTCTGATGTCACAGGAAGAACCTAGCCTTGCTGAGCTCTGAGCACTGGAACCACGCCCAACCGCCGTCTGCCATTTGCAGTAAATCAAAAGATGCAGCTTACAAGCGAGGGCCTTGCTGCCATTGTGTTTGTCCTAATTAAGATTCAGGGTATGTGCCATGGTTGAGCCCGTCCACGCAGACGTGACGGGCTGTCATCACCTTGCCGGAGCGCTTGTCACAACATCGTTAAGATATGCGGTGCCCTGCGCTTCGGGAAAGCTCCGTCCAAGCAGATACTAACGTGCTGTCAGACGCATGCAAACACAAGCCGATCCGGCCCGCCCACTGGTCCTTTCTCTCCTGTTCGGACCATGAGAACCTCGTAGATGGGCTTGAAGCTGGAGCTTCAAATATCTGGGAGGGGGTGGGGCATTCCTGGGAGTAGGCTTGGAGGGCGATGGCCAGATCTGGTGGACGGAGCTTGTGGCATGGAGTTCTGAGTCTCCAGGGTGCAGTGTTTGATTTGGAACCTGTCAAATCGAAGCATGGCTTTCTCTCCTTGAGAACTTTCGCCGAGAATACACTGTAACTTTTCTTCTCTTTCCAAGCCTGCTGAGTGACGTCGCTGGAGCAGACAAACTCTGCATGAAAAGCAGTGGTCAGTGCGATGGGATGACGTCATCTGGGGGTTCTGTGCCGACGGTTCTTACGTCCTCAGACCCGGTATTTTTCTTTACCGTGCTCATTGATCACGCAAATGTGCTGAAACAGTGAAGCGTTAAAATGTATCAGTTTCTCCACAAACTCTGAGTGTAGAAAAAGGTCAGACCATAGCAACAGAACGCCACTGTGTACATGGTTACTGTTCATTTAAATACCTATGTGTGTCTTTAGATCTCTGTGTGTGAACTCGAAAGAGACTGTTCAAATGCTTGGCATAGGGTATGTGTTGATGCAGAGCCCTGACCCGAATCTGACTCCGTAGGGCCCTGTGCACTCTAAGTGCAGCCCTGGTTGACACAGATGTTTCCGACCGGTGAACTGACCACCACTTGGGCAGAGGGACAGACAACAGTGGCCGACACAACACGCACTCTTACTTGCCCCCTCTTGGGTAGCAAGTGATGCATTCGCAATATTCCAATTGCACAAGCAACAGAAATGGGGTCATTTCACTGTAACAAGGGAGTCGTTGGTAGGGCCCTAGGGTCACTCACAGAATCCGAGGCAGAGCTGGGTCAGCTGCAGAGACGGCAGCTGTGGTGCGGTGGATGCTGTCGGGGCACTGCTAGGATGGTGGCCCTCGGGCCGCTGGGACCTTTGGCATAAGTTTCTCCTCTCCAGGCCTGGGACATCAGTGGGTCTGCTCTGGGCGAGACCTCTACCTCCAGCTCATGCAGTGTTGGCCGGGGTTATGCTGTGAGACCATTTCCCCAAAAGGGGGGGGGGGCACTTATGGGCTGCATGTCACTCTAACTGGGATCTTGTAGATTTCAAGCATGGACGTGAAATAGTTTCTAGAATGTCAACTACTATTATGACTAAGGGGAAAAAGCAGCATGGAGTCCCAGTGACGTTTCTTTAGTTCAAAGCAAGACAATTGATATGAGCCTCCATCATTCTAACACCTGCCTGGCAGTGTTGGGGACTGATGGGATTCATGGACACAAAGTACCCGGCCCAGAAGATACCCCCTAAATGGCAGCCCTACTGCTGTTTCTATCACTTGCTAAATGATGTCGCTGTTAAGCTCTTAGAGCAACGGCCAAGGTATTTGCATGCAAGACTTACGTTCAGATCTCTGAAGTACTCGTTGTAATCCAAGGCATATCCCACCACAAATAAGTTAGGAATCTCGAAGCCAACATCTTAGCAGAGAGAGAGAGGGTGGGGGGAAAAACACCAGCATTTAGCGTATATCCAGGCACAGTCACCACATGCTGTCATTGGTGCTCATACTGTAAGGGACCGAGCCCGAGAGGACTGAACCAAAAAGATGACCCACAGAGACACAGTGAAACAGCAGGCACATTCGTCCGATGGATAATGAAAAATGGCGTTCAGAGCTGAGAAAGAGCTCAGGAGGCCCCCTGGAGAGCAAGAGGTATGTATGAGTTCGTCCTGTGGCCCCCAGGATGACGTAACACTAAAGGAAACACTTGGAAAAGCAAAAAGGGCAGTTCAGCCGGAAGGTGCCGGAACCCTGCAGTCCACGAACAAGTGCACAGGACGCACTCTGCCCCGGGCACTCGTGTGCTTGGCTGGTTCATGGGCCCCAGGAAAGCAAAACCTAGGAGTTAACGGGAGAGGAAACGGGATTGTGCCTTTTGAGAAATGCTCAGGATTATTTTAATAGTGGGCTTTGGGGCCATAGTGCAGAGGATATTAACGAAACCTTGAGATGGATTTAGATGCAATACAAGGTAGCAGATTAAGCAAAAAGGAGAATTCCTGAAAGGAGGGGAGTTTTAGTGGAGAGGATTCTTAAAAGGAGAGCTATGATCTATTCCTTCAGAGATTTTTATTTTTTAGCTTTATTTGGAAGGGAGAGAGGCAGATTGCATCCAAATGGCCACAATGGTCCAGCCTGGAACCAGGAATTCCATCCTGGTCTTCCATGTGGGTAGCAGGGACCCAAGACCTTGGGCCATCTTCCCCTGCCTTCCCAAGGTCATCAGTGGGGAGCTGAGGCCAGCGCTGCTATGCCACAACGCTGGCCCCTCTGCAGAGGTCTTGAGACAATACATGTCCGTTGGTCCAGTGATGCTCAAACCTTTTCAGTCTTCCAGTCTGTGTACAGTGGTCATCAAAGAGGAGATGCACCTGTTTACTTTCCTGACACTGCACTGCGGTACAGCCAATGCACCTGTCACAGCTACTCCACCACCATTCCCACTGCTGTGACCAGAGAAGCAAGAGCAGCAGGTGGCGGAGGTTACATAAAGACATCTGAGGACCAGTCAAGGACGAGAAAGGAACAAAGAATAGCAAGCCTCAGAAATCCAGAGAGAAAGATTCTTTAAAACATTTATTTGAAAGGCAGAGTGAGGAGAGAGAGTTTCTATCCACTGGTTCACTTCCCAAACGCCTGCAATAGCCGGGGCTGGGCCAGGCTGAAGCCAGGAGCCTGGAACCCCGTCCAGGTCTCCCTTGTGGGTACAGGGGCCCAAGCATTTGGGGCATCTCCCACTGCCTTTCCGAGATGCATGAGCAGGGAGCCGGATCGGAAGTGGAGTGGCTAGGACTCGAACTGGCACTGACACGGGATGCCGATGTCTTAGGTGGCAGCTTAGTATGCTGCTGGCCCTGAGATGGAGACTCCAAGCTAGCTAAGAGACCAGTAAATCCCAGGGTGTAACAACAGAAATGACGTCAGAGGAAGCAGTGCACTCCCAAGGACAGGCCTGGCAATTCAGGCTGGGTGATGAGAGCCCAAAGGCAGTTGGGAAGAAACCCTGTGATGTCACAGAAGGAGAGGAGGCCCATGGAACAGCGTGATCTTTCACTAGCAAGCCAACTCCATTTTCTTATCTGTAAAATGGGTATAACAGGGAGCAGCTGGGAGGCTGAATGAGCCTGTGTCCATACAGCTCTTAGAAGAGTGGCACAAGAAGAAGTTCTTCCTACTGTTAGCTGCTGCTTCTTCACTCATGATGTTGGAAGCATTGTGAGAAACCTGGCACTGGGCACAGCAGTGCTGGCATTCTGTATGGGTGCTGGTTTGAGTCCCAGCTGTTCCACTTCTGATCCATCTCCCTGCTAATGCACCTGGGGGTGCCGGCCTGTGTGCGTAGGCTCCTGCCACCCAAGCAGGAGACCTGGGTGAAGTTCCAGCCCAGCCATAGCCCTTGTGGCCATTTGGGGAGAAAACCAGCAAATGAAAGATCCCCTCCCAGTCCCCATTAACTCTGCCTTTCCAATACACAAGTCTAAAAAAAAAGCCATAATTAGCTAGGTTTACTATGTTTTCTTATCCATGCAGTAATCACTTGATAGCACTTCCTTAGAAAATTTGTTTCGTAACCTCATGTACCCATCTCTACATCCAGGTTGTATTCCTGAAACATCACACTCTAGGGCCCACCTGCCCAGAACTGACAGTCAGCACACGACGGAGCCTCACTGGTAGAATCGAGAGACCCTGCCCGAGGACCCACCCACACCCCGGCTTCTCCATTTCCAGTGTGTGTTCAGCTTGCCGATGGGAGCCGCGGGCAAACCATCCCAGGACTTTCAGAGCAAATACAAGCTATCACCGTTGGGCTAAAATGTGCGTAAGCCCATACAACAGAAATCACCTTGAGTGTTAGGACGAGAACCCAGCAGGCTCCCTGCTGAACCTCGGCAGGTCCTCCCAGCCCGAGGGAGGAGAGAGGAACGTGCTGCATGTATGCACGTGTGCGCGCGTGCACACACACACACGGCTGCAGTCCACAGGGCTGATGCCGCCTGCCAGTGAGGACACTGAGGAACCTGGCGTTAGGGGGTTGGGAGAGAGCATGAGGAAGCTGGGGAGGGGACGGTCAGGCCTCCAGAGCCACATTCCACAAACCAGAGATTCTCAAACAGGGAGCACAACACCTCCACCCCAACCCAAGCCGGCAGCCCCCGCCCGGGCACTCACAGTTGGGCCGGAAGCTGTCACTTCTGGGCGTTCTCTTCACCAACAAACTGCCAACAAAACGAAACAACGCTTTGGTGCTCCCCCAAAAATCTCTGGGAACAGCACTCAGGACTGAACATCATTCGACTATATCCCCCCACCCCCACCCCTCCGCCTTTTAATTCATGCCCTGGCTACTGGTGGGGGTGGGGCACGACCTCAAAGGTTCTAGGCAAGAGGAAAGGGCCAGGGTGGCACTGTGGCATAGCGGGTTCAGCCACTGCCTGTGACGCCTGCGTCCCCAGTGGGCGCTGGCATTCTGTACGAGTGCCGGTTCAAGTCCCAGCTGTTCCACTTCCGATCCAGCTAATGGCCTGGGAAAGCAGAGGAAGACAAACCATGGACTTGGGCCCCTGTACCCCCATGGGAGACCCGGAAGCAACTCTGGTGGGTGGAATTTGGCCTGGCCCTGCGCTGGCTACTGTAGCCATTGGGGAGTGAAATAACGGATGGAAGACAATCGACGGATCTCTCTGTGTCACATACGCACATATACTCTCTTCCTCTCTCTGCCTTTCAAATAAACAGAAGCCCGAGCAATTGCACGGGGTTGGCCTGGCTGTTCCTGGAGACAGAGCTTGGGGCTGCAGAGGGCCGGCGGACGGGCTGGGCATCCCTCTAGAAACCCCCGGGGCGGGGCGCAGGCCTCACCTGGCGACCTTGATCATGTTGGGCCGGTACGTCCGAATGCTGCTGAGCAGGGCTCGCATGGTCCTCCCGGTCCCTACGACGTCCTTGGCAGAGGGAACAGCACAGTCAGCTACGGGTACGGGGGAGCTGTGCCTTATTGAGAATGCACCCTGGTTAGACGCCATCCCACTGAGGAGCAGGCGGGAGGCAGAGTGGCCCAGTTATATTTTAGATAAGTGCTGCTTTCTGGAAGATGAGGTTTGGGGGGTGGGGGTGGAGTGAATGTTTTCTCATGGAGCCCCTTAGCTGTGCTCAAGGCCTGAAGCTGGGCCTCCGCGCGCAGTCCATCTGGGGCCCTGTGTGCCCCTGCAGAGGCTGTGTTTGGCCCGAGGTTAGGGCACACAATACAAGGCGCATGAATTTTCATGGCCGTGGGATGCCCCACTGAATACGCCCGGTGGATAAGCACCTCCCCCTCGGCGGCCCCGCTCAATAGGGGACTGGAGGGGCCCGGGCCGCAGCTGGCAACGCCCGTGAATGTCCTCGGGCCGAGAAGCGGCTGCCAGGAGCTGATTATCTGAACAACAGGTCTGAGTGGGACCAGGGCCCGGCTGTGCGTTTGGCTGCGGGGTCTACTTGATGGGGTCTATTAAAGCCAGAGCCACTCCGGATACGCCGGGCAGCACGGAACAAAGGCTGCCAACAGCCCCCCCCCCCAACCAGGCGGTGCCAGCCACTGAGACAGGCGTGTTGCTGAGCAACCAACATGCAGCCATCGCTGGACCCCTCCCTGTGGCCAGGGCCTTGTCCTTTCTCCTCCCCCTCCCTCCCTGTTCCTCCTTTGTCTCTTTTTTGTTAAATGGAAAAACAAAAATGTTAACAGTTTTTCCCTGGGTTGCCTCTTTAACATTTTTTTAAGTTAATTTGTTTGAGATGTCTTCCATCCCCCTGTTCACTCCCCAAATGGTCACAACCACCAGAGCTGAGCCGACCCAATGCCAGGGGCCAGGAGATTCTTCCGGGTCTCCCACGTGGGTGCAGGGGCCCAAGCACTTGGGCCATCTTCTGCTGCTTGTCAGGTGCATTAGCAGGGAGCTGGATTGGAAGTGGAGCAGCCGGGACATGAACCAGCGTCCATGTGGGCTGCTGGCACTGCAGGTGGAGTCTTAGCCCACTGTGCCACAACGCCAGCCCCAGGCTGCAGCTTCTAACACACATTGCTGAAGGTATCCAAGGATAGCTTAGTCATTGGGGGTCACAAGCAAGAACAGTTTGAATCCAAACTGCTCTGTTTCTGATCCAGCTCCCGCTAATGGCCTGGAAAGCAGAGGATGGCCCACGTGCTTGGGCCCTGTACCCACGTGGGAGACCTGGAAGAAGCTCCTAGCTTTGGCCTGGCTCAGCCCCGGCTTTTGTGGCTCTTTGGGTAGTAAATCAGCAGATGGAAGATCGATTTCTCTTTCAAATAAATCTTTAAAAAAAAAAAAAATCTGGGGGCCAGCGCTGTGGCACAGTGGGTTAACACGCTGGCCTGAAGCACTGGCATCACATATGGCCGCCGGTTCGAGACCCGGCTGTTCCACTTCCAATCCAGCTCTCTGCTGTGGCCTGGGAAAGCAGCAGAAGATGGCCCAAGTCCTTGGGCCCCTGCACCCATGTGGGAGACCTGGAAGAAGCTCCTGGCTCCTGATTGGTGCATCTCTGGCTATTGCAGCCAATTGGGGAGTGAACCATCGGATGGAAGACCTCTCTCTCTGCCTCTGCTTCTCTGTGTAACTCTGACTTTCAAATAAATAAATCTTTAAAAATACATCCGGGCAGGACCGGCGCCACGGCTCACTAGGCTAATCCTCCGCCTAGCGGCGCCGGCACACTGGGTTCTAGTCCCGGTTGGGGCGCCGGATTCTGTCCCGGTTGCCCCTCTTCCAGGCCAGCTCTCTGCTGTGGCCCGGGAGTGCAGTGGAGGATGGCCCAGGTGCTTGGGCCCTGTACCCCATGGGAGACCAGGAAAGGCACCTGGCTCCTGGCTCCTGCCATCGGATCAGCGCGGTGCGCCGGCCGAAGCGCGCCGTCTGCGGTGGCCATTGGAGGGTGAACCAATGGCAAAGGAAGACCTTTCTCTCTGTCTCTCTCTCTCTCACTGTCCACTCTGTCAAAAAAAAAAAAAAAAAAAACATCCGGGCAGACATGCACAGAGCGGGAGCTAAGTCCTTGGCCTATTGATGACAAGTTGTGCATTTTAAAACTCACTGTTGGATTCTTCCAGTTCCGGGGTGGAATAGAAAGAGCCAGCTTACCTCAACAATGAGGACATTCTGAAAGAAACAAGACCCAGGTCTCAGTCTCCCGTAAGTGCGGCTCACGGGATAAACACACGCTTCGCATACAGTGAGACTTACGGTGCACCCCATCCCAGTGACGACAGGGCGTCTGGGCGCTCCAGGCTGGCTGGAAGCCCGGGTCCCTGGGGAAGAGCTCCATGTGCCATTGCTAGGAGCCCTCTGCAGAGTAGGGGCAGGTTTGTCTACCCCGCCACCCCTCTGAAGAGCTCTTCTCAGATGGTCCCACCTCAGTCCTGCTCAGCAGCCCCACCCAGCGTTCCTTGGGGATGCAAAGCTTGCGTGGGTCACCTGCTCAGCGCGGCAGCCCCCAGAGCCCCCAGGACTCAGCACGCACTCTGGGAGTTTCAACCCGAGGCAAGGGTAGGGAGAGGAAGAGCAGGAGTTGCTGAATGGGGGAATAACAACCAATGAAGCTTATTGATGAGTTAAATCAGCCGGTCAGGCGGATTAGCAGTAACACATCCGTGACGTCCCCCAGGTTAGAATCCGACCGTGTCATGGACCAGTCCTGTTAGCCAAAGGCAGAGACTCCTCCCTCGGTGAAAGCGAGTTTTTCTTTCTTTACGTGACCTTTCGTTCTCTTGTGATTTACATCACATTTAAAAATACTATCAAATCTTACACACTAGATACCTAATGCAGAAGACATTTAATGAGGGGCTGGCGCTGTAGCACAGCGGGTTAACACTCTGGCCTGAAGTGCCGGCATCCCATATGGACGCTGGTTCAAGTCCCAGCTGCTCCACTTCCAACCCAGCTCAAGCACTCGGGTCGTCGTCGGCTGATTTCCCAGGCGCATTAGCAGGGAGTTGGATCAGAAGTGGAGCAGCCGGGGCTTGAACTGGTGCTTACACAGGATGCTGTAGATACAGGCGGCAGCTTGAGCCACTGCACCACAACACAGACCCCTATTTTATTTGAAAGGTGGAAAGAAAGACTGCCTGTCCACTGGTTCACTCCCCTGATGCCTGCAAGAGCTAAGGCAGGGCTAGGCCGAAGTCAGGAGCCTAAAACTTCATCCGGGTCTCCCATGTGGGTGGCAGAGACCCTGGTGCTTGAGCCATCACTACTGCCTCCCAAGGTGTATCAGCAAGAAGTTAGCTTTGGAAGGGGAACCAGGCACTCCGATGTGGTTTGGGGCCTCTTGAGCAGTGGCTAGGGGGCTATGCCTCACGCTGGCCTTAACCTCGTCCATTTTCAAAGCCATGGAATCCTCCGCTCCACCAGTCCGTGGGCAGAGCAGTCCCCTCGGTGTGTTGGACATGCTTCCCTGTAATCGCAACCCTCATTCCACAGCTGTCGGCCAGGATGTGCGATTTTCATTAGAGGGTTAGCAACTAGAACACTTGGAGCATGTTGTGGTTAGCTGAATTTCCTGATTCTTTGTGCCTCAACTTTACAAAGAAAAATCCTTCTAACGTATGCAAGCCTGCGTCGTGGCCTAATTAAGTAGAGAGCACTGGACATGAGCGAAGCTGATGCGTTTGGGGTTAACAGTTCAGATGCTCAGAAAGCGAAACCTTGACCTTTGGGAAGATCAGCCTCCACTCTGAGATGGAGGTGGGCGGGAAGAGGGCCTTGGAGCCCCTTCATCGCTCCTCACTCCCAGCTTACACACTCCCCACCCCCCAACGCAGTCACTCTGCACTCTTCTAGCTGTTTCTGGTCATTACTGCTGTATTTCTAACAGATACACTGAGAGGCCAACATGGCACTGGCATCTCCTATGGGCGCCGGTTCAAGAACTGGCTGCTCCTCTTCTAATCCAGCTCCCTGCTGATGTTCCCGGAAAAGCAGCAAAAGGTGGCCCGAGTGCTTGGGCCCCTGGCGCCCACGTGGGAGACCCAGATGGAACTCCTGGGTCCTGGCTTTGACCCAGCCCTGGCCGTTGTGTCCATTTGGGGGAAGCGAACCAGCAGATGGAAGATCTGTCTCCCCCTCCTCTTTCAAATAAATAATTTTTCTAGAAAAGATATATTGAATAATGCATTTCATATACCCATTCATTTTTTAAATTTTTTTAATTTAATTTTTTATTTATTTATTTTTTGACAGGCAGAGTGGACAGTGAGAGAGAGAGAGAGAGAGAGACAGAGAGAAAGGTCTTCCTTTTGCCGTTGGTTCACCCTCCAATGGCCGCCACGGCCGGTGCGCTGTGGCCGGCGCACTGCGCTGATCCAAAGCCAGGAGCCAGGTGCTTCTCCTGGTCTCCCATGGGGTGCAGGGCCCAAGCACTTGGGCCATCCTCCACTGCACTCCCGGGCCACAGCAGAGAGCTGGCCTGGAAGAGGGGCAACCGGGACAGAATCCGGTGCCCCGACCGGGACTAGAACCCAGAGTGCTGGCGCTGCAAGGCGGAGGATTAGCCTAGTGAGCCGCGGCGCCGGCATACCCATTCATTTTTAAAAACATTTAAATCATTCATTTTTAGGTTGCCTATTTTTCAAAAGAGATTTTCAAGAGTACGTGTGTGTCCATTTTTATCACAGAAAGCATGTATGTTCCATCATACTTATGAAAGAAAACGCATGCTTTCTATAATATAAAACTACAAAAATGATACAGTTTGAAAACAGAAAACTGTAAAGACTTTCTGGATTTTTGATGTGTGTTCAAGTCTTTTAAATGTTTACATTAAACTAGATGAAAGGCATTTTTCATTATGCACACCCAACACACTATCACATCCAACAAAAATGATAATTGTGCGATGGACTACAAGGCTTCCTGCACGTCCAGATAGCTGAGGCCACGCATTGGAACCGAATGCCCGTTCAGCCTCCGTCCTGTGCTCCTGTCCAACAATTTCAGAGGTCACGCGTGTACTGTCGTGTAGGATACACGAAGACTAAGCTCCGCTCAAGGCTTTCGCTCTTTCCCCTCCTCTTCCTAGCGAGCCCCGCTGTCCTGGGTTACTGTAAGGAACACATTGGCTGATGAAGATCACCTCTATTGCTCAGTAGATTTTGCAGGATTAAGGAGGCTACATGGGTCGATCCATATCTGTGAGAACACAAGGGCCTTTCTGAGTTACGTCAAATGTTAAATAGCAGAATCACTGAGTGGACCGTCTGCTGGGGAAGGCAAGCCACGCCGAGTGCTGTGGCACTGCAGAGCTGTGCAGAGCGGCCATCCACACACACTCATCTCCCGCAGGGCACAGAGCCCGTCTCCAGGGACACACGCCACTCTCTGGCCTCTCAGTGGCAAAGGCTCACCGTCAACAACAGCAACGTCTTGGGCACCTCTGGGATGATAGTGGAGTCTGCCACATAAAACAAAACGTAGGGGCCTGCGCTGTGGTGCAGCAGCTAAGCTGGGCTCCCACATGGGCTCCAGTTAGAGTCCCGGCTGCTCCACTTCCAATCTAGCTCCCTGCTAATGCACCTGGGAAAGCAGTAGAAGATGGCCCAAGTGCTTGGGCCCCTGCGCCCGTGTGGGAGACCTGGAAGTAGCTCCTGGCTCCTGAAGGGCTCAGCTCCAGCTGTCGTGGCCATTTGGGGAGTGAACCAGCAGAAGGAAGCAGCCAGCCCTGTCTCTCCCTCCCTCTCTGTAACTCCGGTTTTCAAATAAATAAATCTTAAAACAACAACAACAGAGATAGCCTGAGAGTGGAGAGGAAGTTAGTATCCCAACACTGGAAGCACGCAGCTGGTGCCCAAGGGAATAGGTCTCTTTCTGTTTTAATGTTCCAAGGCCAGAGCCCAGAGCTAAGGGTCCAACACTCATTCTTCCACCATCAGCCCTGAGGATGGAGACTGGCAGGCGGGAGGTGTTCGAGAGACACAGGCAGGCGGAACGAGGTTCTGATCTCGTTTCTTCTCTTCCTGTGGCCCCCCACACTTGTGCTACAACATCCTCCCCCAGTTCCCTTCCCGAGCTGTCATCCCCTCCCCCAGCCAGACTTAGTGTCTGCCGCTTTCAACTTCCCACAAAGCAGTCCTCTAAAATTCCAATTCCAATCTTTTTTTTTTTTTTTTTGGAGTGGGCAGCCTTGGAAACATTTTTTTTTTTCTCAGAACACACTGTGCCTCTCGAACACTTTCAATCTGATAATAACTCTCATCACCGCGTCGGCGTCGTTTGCCAGTTCCTGTCCTAGTCATCTCATCACACCTAGCTCACTTCCTCCCAGAAATCAGCAAAACGCGCAGGCGTTCTATGGGGAATCACCCAGCCTTCACTCTTGCAGGATTCTGATCTCAGAGCCTTGGGTTTCCCATCGCAAAAGACAGCCAGAAAAGAAGAAGGAACAATGCAAATGGAGACGAGCAGTTCCTGCTTTAAGCCTTTCGCCAGGCACAGTGATTGGCACAGTGCGTGTCAGGTGCGCATCTGTCACTTCTGCAGGTGGGGGAGCCGGAGGGAGGCACAGCGTGTTTGCTTCGAGGGATAATTCACAGAGCTGCCAGAACTCCCGAGGCGGGCACTTTCCACGGATGTTCCCAGCCTGGTCAGGCGTGGCGAAGAGGCAGCCAGCGTGGGGGCGTTCGGGTAGCTTCCGATGCCTCCTTCTGCCGTTGGATGAGAAGCATGTTTGGGGCCGGCCAGGGCTCCCGAAACCCTGCTCTCAACCTGCACTGCGGTGCTTTCCCGTTGCCAGCCTCGGGGCCGTGGCCACGCGCTCGGTCCTGCTCACCTCCTTCCCGGGGAGTCCTCTTGACGCTGGAATAAAATCGTCTTGCTTTCCTGGATGCACGCGTTTTAGGCGATGCCAGGATTCAATCAACGCTGCTCACCAGGCCGAGCGCAGACGCACAGAGGGACCGCTCTTAACTAAGCGAGCCCTGAGCAGCCTGTTCCACCCCAGCACCAGGGGCTCCCTTTTATGCTATGGCAGTGACCTAGTGAGAGGCATGACTCAGCTGGGCCTGCAGGAAGAAAAGCAAGAGAGAGGGAGAGAAGGGTGCAGCACAGAGGCGCTGTCTAGCCTCCTTGCTCTGAACATTTCACTCCCAGGCTGCAGGGGCTTCCCAGAAGTTACACAGGCTGTGGGGCCGGTCCTGTCTACTTTGCTGTGTGGTAGGAATGCGGGTGAATGACTTCCCCATGCTGGATATACTTCGTTCTAGCCCACCCGCCTTCTTGTAACTGCAGTGGCTCCTTGGGACGCCTCTCCACTCCTCGGCTTCCGCTCGGACGCTGCTCAGCTAGTTCTAGTGCTCACGCGGGCTGCACCTGCGTTTCCTGTCCCTCGCTCTCAGACTCCCACCCTCCCACGAGATGCACCGGCCCCACGTGCGGCTCCACACGGCATCCGCCTCTGCTGTTTCTGTAGCTCCCCTCGGCGCCTCGGAGTCAGTTAACTCGTCGTGGACACACCCAAGGTATTCTCCAAGCCAGACCCGATGGACACTTCCAGGTTGTTCTTATCACTTCCTCTGGTCCACTCCTCTCCTCCGATCTACCACCTGCCCCCTCCTCTCCCCTCCATTCCATCCCACTCTTCCTCTCTCTCCTCTGCGTTCCTTCCAGACCTGCTGGTCCCCAGGAGGCTTCATGTCCTCTCTATGATCATCGCCGCCCCCAGGAGGCCTCCTTGGGAGAACCCACTGGAGCCCTTCCCTGGGTGCCGTCAGAGCATGCATGCAGCGAGAACATGACCCAGATGCAGGTCTGTCCAGTGATTGCCGCGACGGACGTGAACTACAGGAGGAGGGGGCGGTGTGCAAGGCTCCCTCCACCCAGCACCGTCTGCGTTGGGGTCTCAGAGCGCCTTCCACTGCTGTCCAACCAAGCAGCCGCCGACGGACGGGAGTCTCTTCCCTCCCACTCTTCTCCAGAAGTGGACTTGGCATGATGGCAACATTCTGAATGTGGATTCTGCACGATGGACGCAGCCTGGCCGCTGACCGAAATTCAAGTTCACTCAGACTCTCGGGGGACGGCCTGTCTGGGAGAGGCCACACAAGTGCCCTCATCTGTTTCATGAAAAGGCAGGCCCAAGCGTTCCGTGGAATTTTCTCTTGGTCTTCCATGCTCAGCTGGGTTCAGCCTTCACTTCCTCTGTCCTCCTGGGACCCCTGTACCCAGAAGCCCCTCTGCCTATTTTGTTATTTGAAAGGCAAACCCAGAGGGGGAGAGAGAGAGAGAGAGAGGGAGAGCAAGCAAGTGAGCCTGCACTGTTCCATCTGCTGGTTCACTCCTCAAATGCCCGCAACCGCCAGGGCTGGGCCAGGCTGAAGACAGGAGCAAAGAACTCCATCTTGGTCTCCCTCACCAGTGGCAGGGACCCAAGTACTTGGCCGTCACCTGCTCCCTCCCAGGGTGTGCCTAAGCAGGAAGCTGGACTTAGACGCAGAGCTGGGACTTGAACCCAGACACTGTGCCATGGGATGCCAGCGTCCCGAGAGATGTCTTGCTGAACACTGGCTCCTGGCGCTCTCTTCTGATGACAGCCCGGGCACCCTGACCCGCAGCTTTGAGCTTGCGTTGCTGCTCTCCCACTCTCAAAGAAAGGGGCCGTGCTGAGCGCACTCACTCTCCAACGAGATGGAAGTTGGGTCTGTAAGGAAGAAGAGCAGGACCACGGTCCCCCAGGCCGATTTCCTCCTTGGATTTATTGTGGAATCTTAGAGCCACGCCTGCCTGCATCAGCCCTCGCTGCAGAAGCACAGGGCAAGGTGTTTCCCTTGGGAAACCAAGCCGGAAGGTAACATCACACGACGCCATGCTAAAATGACCTCTCCTACAGAGGCCACGCGCGCCAGGGCTGTTCGAAGCTACAAACTCCTGGGAGACCCTGTGAGTATTTTCACGCTCCAGGAAGTGACTGTGCACTCGCTGTAGTCACATCAAACGGTGGCCTAGTGATGCATTCCTATCAACATGTCAATTCCAAATTTTAGGGAACGAATTCATTACTGGGGAGCAACTTAACACCTGGAAGAGTCCCAGTGGCTCCTGAAGTTATTACGCGAGTTTTTATCAAACGCGGCTGCTGTCCTGTTTCCCCATCCGGGGCATTTTGTGACAGCAACCACCCCAGGCCTGAGAGACTGAGTTTGCGCGTTGGACGGATCCCTTTGCCTTAGAAAGCTGAAGCTGTGCAGGGACACTGAATACAAAACAGGTCAGCACAGGTGGACGTGAACACATCGTGCCCCGCTCTCTCTTGTTCACGGCAATCGCACATCTTGAATTCCATTCCACAGAGATCTCGGGCTTCTCAAAGCAGCTCTCCGTTTGGAGAGAAGTGCTTACAGCCAGGCTCCAAACAGACCTTCCACAAAGCTGCGGGGGCACTGGCAGGCCTGCCACGCCCAGTCAAAACTGGGAGTGTCTCCCCATAATCCAGCAGGCTGCATTCTTTTTTTAACAGGAAACAGGAAAGAGGTCGAGGGCTGAGAAGCACGTTCATGGGAAGTTCCGTGTTCTTCCCTCCCTAAATGCTGCACAGGTCAGTGGGCCTGCAGAACTGTCCCATGCAGGTGCAGGGAGGCCCACTTTTTTGCAGGCGCGCAGACAAGGAAGAAAACGAGGCACACCGAGGGCTGCTGTTGTCAGACACGGGTGGGAGGGACGTGTGGAGAGGCAGGATTTGGTCTGCATCAGGTCCAGGAAGGTTTCTGGTAGGAGAGATTCAGCAAGAAGCAGTCACAGGGCCGGTGTTGGGACGTAGCAAGGTAAAGCCTCAGCCTGCAGTGCCGACATCACATATGGATGCCGATTCGAGTCCCGGCTGCTCCACTTCCAATCCAGCTCTCTGCTAATGCACCTGGGAAAGCAGCAGCAGATGCCCCAAGTGCTTGGGCCCCTGCTACCCATGTGGGAGACCCAGAGGAAGCTCCTGGTTTCGGCCTGGCCCAGCCCTGGCTGTTGCAGCCATCTGGGGAGTGAACCAGCAGATGTAAGATCTCTCTTCTGTCTCTCTCTCTCTGTACCTCGGTGACTCTGACTTTCAAATATATAAATAAATCTTTTAAAAAAGAAAGGAACAGTTATTAGAAGGACTGCCACATCCATTTGCGTGGCTTCGCAGGCCTGGGAGGGCCAGTGCTGTCCTGAGACGAAGGTCACGGCTGTCCAGACATCACCGCGATTACCGAGCGTATGGACCCACCTTGCCAGCCAGGGTTGAGAGATCCTCTCCTCCGATGATCTGCATCTCGCCCATGGACTGATCGTTCTGCAGAAGAGGGGTGAGAGAAAGCAAGATGATATTTTACCGCCCAAGAAAACCTTGCACGCGCATTTCCCCATCTGCCCAGTGTGAGTGGCCAGATCGCGCCTTACAAATATAGCACGCGTGCTGGGGTAGGGAACCACGGTTGCCTGTGGTTACCGAGAGCCTCTCCTGCTCCTGCAGTTGAGGCAAAGCTGCCCGACTGGCTGGCGGGAGGGCCTGAGTGCGGAGTGGGAGGCCTGGGGCGACACAGGATAAATGACCCTAATCTGGAAGCAAAATGATGGGGACAGTGCCTGGCTGAATGGAGAGACAGCCAGAGCCAGGGCCTGGGGTGGGGGTGTGACAGCCCCAGGAGAGGGGCAGGCATCTATCGGCTTGGCTGCCAAGCCCTACCTGGAGGCCTGCAGTGCAGAGCCATCTGGGTCTGGCTCCCTGAGACCCGGGGGCCGCCTCAGCCCCCTCGCCGGAGGTGGACGGAAGTCTAACAGGCCCTGAGGCCTCCTACAATGAAGAGTCTGCCGTTCTGGGAACACGAGGCCCAGAACCACACTTAGAAGACCCGCTTTGGACTTGAGAAGGGGAGAAACAGGACAGTGACTTCCCGCCCGCCGGCCCCCTGCCCAGCCACCTGTGATGCAGGCCTCCCGTGTGGGCGGCAGGAATGCAGGCCACCGAGCCGTCAGCGGCTGCCTCCCAGGCGCTCCATGGCAGGTACCTGGAGTCAGGAGCCAGACCCGGGCAGGAAACCCAGGCTCTCCGGTGTGGGCTGAGGGTGTCTCAACTGCTACCATCTCAGAGTTTTTCGTCAAATGCCGTTCGTGTTTGAGGTCATTCACTTTCTCCGTGTTTGTGTGTGGTGCATCACCCTTCCCTAACCAAACCCCCACAGCAAGTAAGCGAACAAGCAAACAAACCAAACCCCTGGCCCATTGAATAAACCAATCACATGCAGAACTAGGTCCCACTGCCCAGCACCAAGTTTGAGCTAACCACTGCGGTTCATGCCCTACCAGATCAAAGTAAGTTTCCAAATCATTCTACCGCTACCATCTGCATTCTGTTGAACGTTTATTCCAACGATGGTTGTTGTTGTTAAAAACAAACGCAAGACACTCAAAAGCTAAATAACACGTTCAAGGCCACACAGCGTTTTGCCAAGCAAGTGTTCCTGAGAAGGCTTTGCTGAGACCGAGTTAGAAACATGTTTTTAATATTGCGTTTGTCCTGAACCCATCTGGAATCTGTATCTTCCAAGTGTGGACAGAGTCCACTGTCCCAACACCATTTATCGAGTTATTATTTTTCCCTGTTAGTCTGAAATGTCATTTTTATCAGGGCCTTCGTTCTCCCATACAAGTTTCTATAATTGTCCAATCTAACCTGCCTATTCCAACATTAATTAATCTAACACACATCCAGTTAATTAACCTAACCTGTCTATTCCAACTCCCAAATCACACTGTTAGAATTATCATTGCTTTTAAATAATTTTTAATAACTTGTCATGCAAGTCCCATGTTCTGATCCATTTTAAAAATTTTCTCCATGACTTTTATATACTTTATTGTCTAGTGGATTGCTAGAAAGATCAAATGAATTCATACATTTGGAATACTTTTTAAAAATATTTACTTGGGGGGCTGGCACTGCGGCATAGCAGGTAAAGCCATCGCCTGCAGCACCGGCATCCCATATGGGCACCAGTTCAAGTCCTGTCTGCTCCACTTCCCATCCAGCTCTCTGCTGTGGTCTGGGAAAGCAGTAGAAGATGGCCCAAGTGCTTGGGCCCCTGCACCCATGTGGGAGATGGGGAAGAAGCTCCTGGCTCCTGGCTTCAGATTGGTGCAGCTCCAACCATTGCAGCCAAAGTGGGAGGTAAACCTGCGGATGGAAGACCTCTCTCTCTCTCTCTTACTCTCCTTCTCTGTGTAACTCTCAAATAAATAAATAAATAAATCTTTAAAAAAAGGTTTATTTGGAAGGTGGAGAGGGGAGAGGGGAGAGACAGCAAGTAAATGCACTCTTTCATCCGCTGGTTCACTCCCCAGATGGCTACAACGGCTGCGGCTGGGCCAGGCCGAAGCCAGGCGCTTCTTCCAGGTCTCCCACATGGGTGCAGGAGCCCAAGCACTTCAGCCATCTTCTGCTGCCTTCCCAGGCCATTAGCAGGGAGCTGGATCAGAGCTCCAAGCAGAGCAGCTGGGACTAGAACTGGCGCTTCGACTTGGGATGCCAGCATCGTAAGGAGTTGGTCAACCCCCTATGTCACAACACTGTCATTAAGGGAAATAAAAATAGATTTACACTGTTTGTCAACAAAAAACCTCGATGAGGATGTCGCGCTGACGTAAGAGAAGAAAGAAGGGACGTAAGAAGGGAGCTTGAGCACACAGGGTGCCGCCGTGTCCTGCGAGTCCTGGCTGGTGACCACTCACGCCACCCCTCGCCGTCCTCCTCCACGTGGAGAATCGGACTCTTCCCCCGAGGCTCACCAGGCGCCGTCTCTTCCAGGAAGCTATCTGAGCATGCGCCGGATGCCACCTGCTTCTGCACCCCAGCAGCCTGCTCTGCGGATCGGGGGGTTCGCAAGGCAGCCCGGGAGGTTCTGAGAATGCAGCCCTGGCCAGCCGCGCGGGCGCTCTCAGCCCCGGAGGCTGGCGCGTGTGGCTCCACCCACCTGAGACACCTAGTCCTCACAAGCAGTTGCTTTTGTCTTAAGATCTTGCTCCGCCGGCCCGACCCTGAGGGTGCAAGCTGCCAGGAGGAGGCAGAGGCCAGTGCTGTAGCAGGTAAAGCCACAGCCTGTGACGCTGGCATCCCTTGTGGGCGCTGGTTCAAGTCCCGGCTGCTCCACTTCTGACCCGGCTCCCTGCTAATGGCCTGGGAAAGCTGCAGAGGATGGCCCACGTGCTTGGGCCTCTGCCACCCATGTGGGAGACCTGGAAGAAGCTCCTGGCTTTGGCCTGGCCCAGCCCTGGCTGTGGCAGCCATTTGGGGAGTGAACCAGTGGACAAAAGATCGCTCTCCCTATCTCTAACTTTGCCTTTCAAATAATTAAACCTTTTTAAAAAAGAAATCAAAACTATAAGCAAACACATATGAGAAAATATCTATAAAGCTAAATCAAGGGACAGGAACAAAGCTGCCTTGAACAACATGGGAGATGGAAAGACTTTTTTTTACATTTATTTATTTAATTTGGAAGTCAGACTTACAGAGAGAGGGAGAAAGAAACAGAGATCTTCCATCTGCTGGTTCACTTCCCCCAGATGACTGCAATGGCAAACGCTGGGCCATGACAAAGCCAGGAGCCAGGAGCTTCATCCAGGTCTCCCATGTGGGTGGCAGGGGCCCCACACACTCAGGCCATCTTCCATTGCTTTCTCCAAGTCCATCAGCAGGGAGCTGGATCGGACGTGGAGCAGCCGGGACTCAGAACTGGTGCCCACAGGGGATGCCGGCATCGTAAGTGGCTGCTTTACCTGGTACGTCATGACCACGGCCCCTCCTCAATAATTTTTTAAAAATGTCATTGCAAAAAACCAAGTACATTTTCAGCATATGAAAACACAAATTATTGGTGTCTTAATATCAGTCATGAGTTTGATGAATGGTGAAGCATGCATTTTTAAAGCCAGGTTCACAATTGAAACCAGGAAAAATAAACCATACACACACACACACACACACACACACACACACACACACACAGAGTGCCTGTTCTCCCTACAGCGCAGCTCATCTGACAACACACATCTGCACTGCGTCTCCCACCTCCAGCCTGCTGCACTTTGCAAACGCGACGTGAGTTTCTTTGGAGACAAAGCAGCTTTCTGTGCCATGACCATGACATACTGCCCCACCGTGACTGGCATTCACTGACCCCTCCCAGCCTCCAACAGGGGGACAGGTGAGCCAGGGCCCCCCGCCCCCACCCAGCAGACAAAGCACAGGGGATCCAGAGGCTGCAGGGAGCGGGGCTCACAAGGAGGCCCCCAGAGAAAGAAAGGAGAGGAGGCTGGGATGGACTTGACTTTGCCTGAGCCAGGAGAGCCTTCTGTCTTCAGCCTTGGGATGACTTCTTGTTTTGATTCAAATTCTGCTTTTAAATCATGGAGCGGGACAAGCAGCAGTTCTGGGACATGTCGGGGGGACCCTGAAGACTTCAGCAATGCCTGTCTTTAAAATGATGCACGCGGGGGCCGACGCTGCGGCTTAGTGAGTAAAGCCTCAGCCTGTGGAGTCAGTGTCCCATATGGGTGCCGGTTCTAGTCCTGGCTGCTCCTCTTCTGATGCAGCTCCCTGCTGATGGCCTGAGAAATCAGTAGAAGATGGCCCAAGTCCTAGGGTCCCTGCACCCTCATGGGAGACCCAGAAGGAGCTCCTGGCTCCTGGCTCCGGATCGGCGCAGCTCTGGCCATTGCAGCCATTTGGGGAGTGAACCAGTGGGTGGAAGACCTTTCTCTCTACCTTTCAAATAAATAAATAAATAAAATCTTCTCTCTCTTTCTCCTCTCCCCGCCCCCCAAGTTCTGTACCAGCCTGTGCTGAAGGGAACTGTGCCAGAGGAACACATGAGGGCAGGGCACAATGTGTGGTGGGCAGGGCTGGTGGCAGAAGAGAGAACAGCTCCCTGGGGCAGCCGGACACAGAGGGGCTGCTACTGCCCAGTGGCCACGCCGAGCCTCCCAGCACAGGGGCTCTGCAGGCCAGGCTCCCCGGATCACCGTGCTGCCTCCCGCGTCTCGGCTCACAAATGGCAGGGTCAGGGTCAGCTGAGACTGAAAGGAGAGAAATGTGGGAGAAAAACCCCTGCGTCCCGGCGCCCCAAGGAGCTGCCCAGGGAAACCCCCCTCCCCACCCCCGGAGTTCAGGCAGGGCCCAGTGCCCCCGCGGGAGCCCTGGTCTCCAGCTAACACCCAGCCCTGCCCAGCACACACATGGTCGCGCTCTGGTCTGTGGCCTGGACGAGGCCAGCTCCTCTCAGTCTCCTAGACATGGACAAAACTGGAACAGTGCAGAATCAAAAATAGTTCAGCAGACGGTATGTGGCTCTCCATTTGTACTCCAGCCTCAGGCTCCACAAAGTGTAGATGCTTAAATGAGCACTTACTAAGCGCCAGGCCCGGGGGAGGGGGAGGGGAGGGGCAGGGGGATCTTCCATCCACTGGTTCACTCCCCAGATGGCCACAACTGCTGCACCGATCCAAAGCCAGGAGGCAGGAGCTTCCTCTGGGTCTCCCACGTGGGTGCAGTGGTCCCAGGACTCGGGCCTTTTTCTACTGGTTTCCCAGGACATAGCAGAGAGCTGGATCGGAAGTGGAGCAGCCAGAACTCGAACCTGTGCCCATATGGGATGCCGGCACTGCTTGTGGCAGCTTTACCCACTATGCCACAGCCCCTGTCCCTTTCTTCTAAAAGATTTGTGTATTTGAAAGGGAGAGTTTCAGAGGGAGAGGAACACACCCACACACGCACACACACAAGTCTTTCATGTACTGGTTTACTCCCCAGGTGCCCTCCATGGCCAAGTGCTCAATCAGGCCAAAGCCAGGAGTCAGGAATTCCATCTGGGTCTCCCCAACAGGTGGCAGGGACCCAAGTACTAGAGCCATCACCTGCTACCCCCCAGGCAGTGCATGAGCAGGGAGCTGGGTGGAAGTGGGGGAGCTGGGATCCAAACCGTCACTGCAATAGTGGGATGTGGGCATGCCAAGTAGCAGTTTAACCCACCGTGCAAAGCAACGCAACACATCTAGTATACACCTTTAACACACTGGGCTGTCCACATAAGTCAGAACAACCTGACCTAAGAATACGCAATGAGGTCCAGCTTAGATGGGCTCATACAAGGAAAGGAATGATGACCCCTCCCCCCATAATGACTTGAGCACTCACTCACTGGACACCTGTGCCTGACTCTTCCTCTACTTCACCTGGAAAGTGGCCGCTGGGGTCCAACGCCTCCTAGGAAACCCTAGGAGGTGGGGCCTGGGGTGAAGAGGGTGGAGCCCTCATGAACGGGATTGGTGCCCTTAGAGAAAAGGCCCAGGGAGCTGCCCCTCCCCCCACTGCCCGCTGTGGGGACACAAGGAGCAGGTGTCCTCGGCACCCTGGCCTGGGCTCCCCAGCCCACATTTCTTCCACTAGAAAACCACCCGGTCAGTGCTGTTATGTGATAGCCGTCTGAAGGGACTAAGGCAGTACACATCTGCTCCCAAAAGTTAACCAAAGAGCACTGGCACTGTGGTGTAGTGGGTAAACCCACCACTTGTGGTGCCAGCATCCCATACAGGCGCCGGTTCAAGTCCTGGCTGCTCCAGTTCTGATCCAGCTCCCTGCTGATGTGCCTAGGAAAGCAGCAAAAGGTGGTCCAAGTGCTGGAGCCCCTGCACCCACTTGGGAGACCCAGCTGGGGCTCCTGGCTCTTGGCTTCAGCCTGGTCCGGCCGTGGCTGCTGTGGCCATTTGGGGAGTGAACCAGTGGATGGTTCTGGCTCTCCCTCTCTCTCTCTAACTCTGCCTTTCAAATAAATAAATCTTTTAAAGAGCTAATGTAAGGAACTACTAACATATGCAAGCACTGTGAAACATAGAACAAGTTTTCCATGTGCAAGAAATTATTAGTAATATCTCTAGGTAGAAAACAGCGCTGGGGGAAATGCAGTTATGTGAAAGACACAGAAAAGGGAAGACATACGGAGGGTCTTCATCATCATCTGCTGCAACTACTTTTTATATGCATGGGCTCTGCTCGGACTTCCCCGGGCCTCTAACCGAGACTCGAACAAGACGTACGTAAGACGCGCAGAGAACAGAGGGCTCCGTGAGCCGCGTTGTTTCCCAGAGGAGGAGCTGGCTTATTTGATGGAGGCATGCTGATTGGCAGGGCAAGCTTGCAAATTCCTTCAGGATTAAGTCATGTCTTCAGAACTGGGTGGGGCGCCGAGCTCTGAATTATTTTTTTCTCCTCCACTGGAGGCCGGGGCTTGGAAAGCTGCAGCCCGCGTGTGAATGCGTTGGGTGGTCTTGGGAAAATTCCGCAGCAGCAGTGCCACGCCTCCACGAGCACATGTTTTTGTGCACAGACAGCAGGCAAAGTCTGCGCGCCATCCGTGTGTCTGAGGATCACAGCGCAGGGGACGCTCGGGGACCCCGGAGGCAGTGAGACCACGGGGCCAGGGCTGGGAGCGACGCTCCCTTGACTCACCTGGGTCTGGCTTTTGCAGGATGATCTGAATCTGAGCCTCCAGACACATGACCTCTGTGCTCTGCAGGTCAGCCCCGCCCACACAGTGCCACGGCACAGAGCGCTCGGCTGTTCTGTGCTGTATCCAGGTCCTGCTTGTGCACACGGACGCCTGCTCCTCTCCCTCCACCCCCTGCCAACAGTGTGCCCCTGCCACTGGCTGAGGAGCACTGGGCTTTGTTTACTGGAAGGGGCTGGGGCGGGAAGACTTTGATGGAATGGGGGTAGCAGGAAGATGGAGACGGAGAGGGATGCCTGCTCCATCCAGCTCCTCTGGGTGAAGCTTTCAAAGGAGGAGAGGATGTAGGATGGTGAGGCCAGGAGTTCAGGATCGTTGAGGACCCCTGTGCCTGCGAGAAACCCAGGCCTGCCCTGGTTCCACAGGACTAGCAGCTGGGGCAGGGCCCCTGCCACACACCTGGGTGCTCTTATGACAGGCAATGGCCTCACCGATGACCCCGGATGAGACTTCTCGGGCAGAAACACAGGGCTGCTGTGGGGGCTGGCGAGGGGGGTGCCGGATGCTCAGCGGTGGCTGTGGCTGATGGGACAACCACTTAGGGACACAGGCGAGGACCCATCTGGGGACCCTGAGAAACAACTGGCGAATTGGGATGGTGGGAAAAGTTCAACCCAAATTCACTGTACTGTGTGCACACTCACGAACGGATCCAACAGTATTCACTGACTGTCAAGGCTGTAGCTAAAACCCACACAGAAGGCAGCCGTGGGCTGAGGAGTCTCAGACAGGCATCCAGAGTTCACAGCGTTTCCGCTTGGTTACGCAAAGCTCATCTGCTGTCAAATCCGTTGACATCTGGGCGGGTGCTGTGGAGGCCCAGCTGCTGCCTGGGACGCCTGCATCCCATATGGCTGTGTCTGGGATCAAGTCCCAGCCTCGACTTCCGACCCGGCTTCCTGCTGCTGTGCCTGGGAGGCAGCAGGTGACGGCTCAAGTACTTCAGTCCCTGCCACTCACACGGGAGACCAGGGTAAGTTCCTGGCTCCTGGCTTCAGCCTGGCCTGGGGACATTTGGGGGAATGAACCAGCACATGGAAGACCTTGGTCTCTCTGCCTTTCCAACAAATAAACCAATCTTCAAAAAAGACACACACACACACGCATACACACACACACACACACACACCACGATATCCTTAACATAAGAGTTGATGAGGGCTGGCGCCGCAGCTCACTAGGCTAATCCTCCGCCTAGCGGCGCCGGCACACTGGGTTCTAGTCCCGGTCGGGGCGCCAGATTCTGTCCCGGTTGCCCCTCTTCCAGGCCAGCCCTCTGCTGTGGCCAGGGAGTACAGTGGAGGATGGCCCAGGTACTTGGGTCCTGCACCCCATGGGAGACCAGGAAAAGCACCTGGCTCCTGGCTCCTGGCTCCTGCCATCGGATCAGCGCGGTGCGCCGGCCGCAGCGCGCCAGCCGCGGCGGCCATTGGAGGGTGAACCAACGGCAAAGGAAGACCTTTCTCTCTGTCTCTCTCTCTCACTGTCCACTCTGCCTGTCAAAAAAAAAAAAAAAAAAAAAAAAAAAAGAGAGAGAGTTGATGAAATCATTTCCTACCATGGCACCTTGGTTTTTTTTTTTTTTAAAGTTTGAAGGAAGTGATGTTTATTGTCATAGTTTTAAAATTTCATATTACCTTGGATAAACTCCCGTGACTTCTGCTACCTGCCAAGATGGAATAAAAAAATCAGATTATCAGATTGACTCTGTTGCCTTAAGGAGAAGAGAAGCAAAGAGGAGAAATGTGACCATAGTTTCGCGATGGCAGACGGCAGATCTCAGCAGCGCCCCCAGAGAGACAGAGAAGCGGGGAGGGGGCCTGTGTGGACCCCCACTGTTGTGCTGGAGTGTTCAGGCCATGAGCATCCAGAGCAGAGCCAGGCAGAAGCAGCGGGCTCTGAGTGGAGGAGACAGAGTGGGGAGCCTGGGAAGAGGGGGGTCGGGGTGCTGTGTGCGGGAGCCGAGGAGGCCGAGCGGCTGCGGAGGATGCCACAGACCCATGGGGGAAACTCAGAGGCCAAGGGCTGGAGAGCGCAGAGTGCACCACGGTCAGGACCCAGGACAGTGCCCGTTCCCATCAGCCCCCGCGGGGTCGTGATGGACAGGGCACGGAGCGGCATGCTGGGAAGGCTGTGGGTCCAGGGAGAACAGCCCGTCTTAGAGTGGGGGCTGGCTCTGGATGCACCTAACAAGCCTCAGACGCAAGGTCTGGAGAGGACGAAACGGCGTGCACGGACCCGACTGTGCCGCAAACACAGCCCGGGAATGGACGAAGACCCACCCACGACCCCACAGCCCCTGGAAAACGGAGAGCAGCTTCCTCAAAAAAACTGAAAACAGAGCAACCGAGGGGTCCGGCGATCCCATTTCTGCGTGTCTGCCCCAAAGACTCGACATGGCCAGCACTGTGGTACAGCAGAACAGCTGCTGCTGGCGACGCCGCCATTCCATGTCGGAGAGCCGGTTCGAGCCCCGGCTGCTCCACTTCCCATCCAGCTCCCTGCTAATGCACCTGGGAAAGCAGCAGAAGATGGCCCAAGTGCTTGGGCCCCTGCACCCATGTGGGAGACCTGGATGGAGTTCCAGGCTCCTAGGTCTGGCCTGAACTAGGTCCAGCTGTTGTGGCCATTTGGGGAGTGAACCATGGATGGACAATCAGTCTGCCTGCCAAATAAATAAATAATCTTTTTTTTTTTTTTACAGGAAAAAAGCAGGATCCTTGCTCACAACAGCCGAAAGGAGGAAGTAACACAAACACTCACGCTCAGAACAGATGAACAGAAGTGGGTACCGACATAAGACGGCGGAATATTACTCAACCTTCTAAAAGGAATCCTGTCACAGCTACAGCATGGGTGCGTCTTGGGGACACGGCGCTGAATGAAACAGGTAGTCACAAAAAGACGAGTCCTGTGGGATTCCATGGATTATCTAGGATAGGGAAGCTCACAGAAGACACGGTAAGGATGGAGGTTTCCAGGCACTTTGGGGGAGGGGCCGTGGGCAGCTGCTGTCTGGCAGGTTCATTGTCCAAATTCTACAAGACGAAAACCATCTGAATGCACCTGATGCTACTGAGCCAGGCACACAGCAATGGCAAGCACCTGTCTCTGGGGAGACGGCACAATACAGGGAGAAGGTGGTAGCTTTGGGGCTTACAGCCTGGGTTCGAATCCAGGCTGTGCCGCTTGTGGGCTGTGTGCTTCGGGCAGGGGAACCCTCCAGAGCCCTGGGCACAGCCCGGCTCACAGCAGGAATCAGGCAGCGGTGGGGACTGCCACTGGGGGCTGGACTGCTAGCGGGTGGTGAGCTGGAGGGAAATGAGGCTGGGATTCACAATGAGAAGGCACACGCTGGGCAGACGGTGGCCCGCAGACGTGGGGCCTGGCTCCCTAGACGGGCTGAAGCGAAGAGAGCGCCCACGTGTGTCCCACAGCCAGCGTCTTCTGAAATCGTCAAGCTGGCCCGACGAGGGCCATTTGGGGAGCTTTCTCTCTCACTCAAATAAATAAATAATTACATATTTGAAAGGGAGGGGGAGGAGGGAGAGAGAAGGAGACAGAGACAGAGAGAGATCTTCCATCTGCTGGTTCACTCTCCTAAACAGCTCAAGCCAGGAGCCAGGAACTCCATCCTGGTTTCCCACCTGGATGGCAGGGGTCCACGGACGTGGGCCACCATCCACTGCCTTCCCAGGTGCATCAGCCAGAAACTGGATGAGAAGTGGAGCAGCTGGGATGTGAACCAGTGGAACTAGGGTGGCTTAGCCCACAGTACCACAGTGCCGCCCGGTAACAACTTCAAATCAATAAATGAAACACAAACTCCCAGGTTGGGCCTTTGGCGGGCAGTCAAGTCGCCGGCTGGGACGCCCGTGTGCTACGTCAGGGTGCCTGGGTCTGACGCCCAGCTCTACCGCTGACTCCAGCTTCCTGCTGGGATGACCCTGGATGGCAGACCTTTGGGTCCTGGGCTTCCAGCTCTGGCCCCTCGCCTGTGACACCTGTCAGCATTTGGGTGGTGAACCAGCCAATGGGAGCTCTCTGCCTCCCAAATAAAGGAGGAATAGCCCCTCCCCCTGATTCCTTGACTCCCTGCCACAGCGGGACAGCTCCAGCCTCAGTCACTCTCGGGCTGTGCCACGCTCACTCCGCGCACAAGCAGAGGGGCTTCTGGACCTGGAGAGCAGGGGCCCGGAAGCTGCTTCTAGAACCTTCCTTCACTGGAAGCCTCCCCCCACCCCATGGGCTCTACCTGTGCCCATGCCATGCTGGCATCAGTCTGCTCTCAATGGAAGGGGCGGGACGACCAGCACGAGGCACCTGGGTGGAGCCCCCCCCCCAAGGAGAGCCAGCAGGTGCGCCCTCAGTCTGTCCTGTAGAGCACTGGGCGGTGGATCATGGAAGATTCTTAAAGTGCCCTGTGAAATCCAGGGTTGGGGCCAGCACTGTGGCACAGTGGGTAAAGCCGCCGTCTGCAGTGCCAGCAACCCATATGGGTGCCAGTTTGAATCCCAGCTGCTCCACCTCCAGTTCAGCTCTCTGTTGTGGCCTGGGAAAGCAGCAGAAGATGGCCCAAGTGCTTGGGCCCCTGCACCCACATGGGAGACCCAGAAGAAGCTCTTGGCTCTTGGCTTCGGATTAGCACAGCTCTGGCCAATGCAGCCATCTGGGGAGTGACCCAGCGGATGGGAGACCTCTCTCTCTGCAAAGCCTCTCTGGAACACCTGCATTCCAAACTCCAGTGCTGGGCTGAGTCCCGGCTCCTCTGCTTCTGACCCAGCTCCCTGCTAATGCACACCCCGGGGGGCGGCAGGTGAGGGCTCCAATGGCTGGGTCCCTGCCACCCACATGGGAGATCTGTATGGAGCTGCTGGGTCCTGGCATCAGCCTGGCCCAACTACTGAGGGAATTTGGGGGGATGAGCCCATAGATGGACAATCTCTCCATCTCTGTGTGTGTCTCTCTGCCTTTCAAATAAACTGAAAATATTTTTAAAAATGAAAACACCATTCCCTTAAGAAAAAAACCTGGCAGTGCATGTTCTGATAAGGCCCTTTGATGGCGAGAGCCCCTTGCCAGCATTTTGACGGCGTCAGTCGGTCAGCAGTCAGCCAGGCGTGCATGGAACACTCTAGAACTTGAGGGCAATCCAGGGCTTCTTTGGAAGAATGACCCATTTTTCCCAAGAAGCGCAAACTACAAAAACAATGAGTTAGCACTTTTCGCCCATAAAACTGAGACGCATGCTAAAGAGACAGCGACCACATCTGAAGGTGGTGACAACATGAAGACACAGGGGTGCCTCCATGCACGGCTGTCGGCAGTATACCTTAAAGACTGCTGTTTGGTGGGGGAATCTGGTGCTACGGCAGCAAAGGCTTCCACGGTGACCTGGTTTTATGCACAAGTTTAATGAAATAATCAGAAATGCACACCGCATTGTGTGACTAAGGCTTTATCACAGCATGATTTATGATGTATTAAACTCCAGTCATAGAAGAATGCTTAAAAAAATTCATAGATGTGACCCTGCGAGGGGGATGCTCAGTAGCCATTAAAGGTGATATTGCCCTTTTTTTTTCTTTTTAAAGATTTATGTATTTGAAAGGCAGAATGACAGAGAGGTCTTCCATTTGCTGGTTCACCCCGCAAATGGTCCTAACAGCCAGGGCCGGGTCAGGCTGAAGCCAGGAGCCAAGAATTCCATCCTGGTCTCCCTCGTGGGTGCAGGGGCCCAAGCACTTGGGCCATCCTTCTGCCGCTTCCCAGGTGCATCAGCAGGGAGCTGGATGGAAGGAAGCCCACAGTAGCTGGGACTTGAACCTCGCACTCCAATATGAAGCTTAACCTGTTCCACCACAGTGCCCGCCCCAGGCACCCTTTTTCTTAAGATTTATTTATTTCAAAGTCAGAGTCACACAGAGAGAGCAGTAGAGGCAGAGAGAAAGAGAGGTTTTCCATCCGCTGGTTCACTCCCCAATTGGCCACAATGGCCAGAGCTGCGCCGATCTGAAGCCAGGAGTCAGGTGCTTCTTCTGGGTCTCCCACATGAGTGCAGAGGGGCCCAAGCACCTGGGTTATCTTCTACTGCCATTCCAGGCCACAGCAGAGAGCTGGATTGGAAGTGGAGCAGCCGGGACTTGAACTGGTGCCCATATGGGATGCTGGCACTGCAGGTGGCAGCTTTAGCTGCTACGCCACAGTGCTGGCCCCAGCCCAGGCACTCTTTTCAACATTTGTTCCGATCAGGATTTTCTTGAGAAGTGACAGGTATCCCATGTGCACTAATCAGAAAAGGGACGGATAGGCACTCTCTCTTGTCCATGCTTCTCCTCCCTCTCTTGGCTCACGGTCTCACCTCTCACCTAACAGGAAGGGGTCTATCTCCGATTCCAGCAGAGACTTGATTAGCCTGGCTTGGATCACACATCTATGTGTTGGCCCCCAATCACTGTGGCCAGGTATTCAGGGGCTAGAGCACTTGGCCTACCTTGAATCAGGTACCGAATGTGTCACACCTTCCAACATCCACCCCCTGAGACCCACCTGTCCTGGGTGGGTGGTGTTACGAGGCGCAAGGTCTCTGTGAGGTCAGCATGTCCCGTGAGGACACAAGGACAACTCAGCCATCTGTCTGCGCCCCAGGAAAGAGCTCTCACGGGGCTCGCCATGAAAGCACGCTGATTGCAGAGGCCCAGCCCCTAAAGAAAACTGCTGTGCAGAAGGCACCCCATCTACGGAACCCAGGGGCCTGCATGGACCCCCAGGGACAGCACCATGTGGATGTCACTGCCAGGGCCCCTGGGGACATGGCTGGTACCCAGGAAGCCATTCCAACTGTCTCTCCCCTAATGTCAGATGTGACAGTGTGAGACTGAAGGGCAGCTCTGTCGTCCACTGCAAGGTAAGGGATGGCTCTGTGACCGGGAGGGTGGGAGAGCACTGGGTCAGGAGTCGCTGTCTTACAGCTATGCTTGGCTATTCCTGGCAGCACTGGGTGAGGCCAGAAGACAGATGAACTTAAGAATTCCTAGCCGCCACAGAACGGGCGCAGTGGTCAGGACAACCTTGGGATACCTGCATCCCATACTGGAGTGCCCAACTCGAGTCCCACCTCCACTTGCAATCCAGTTTCCTGCTGATTCAAACCTGGAGGCAACAGTACTTGAGTCCCTGTGCCCCACATGGGAGACCCAGCTGGAGCTCCTGGCACCTGGCTTCAGCCTGCACCAGCCTGGGAGTGAACCCATTCGGGGAGTGAACCTGCAGATGGAAGATGGGTCTCTGTCAGCCTCTTTTTGCCTTTCAAATAAAGCAGAAAAATAAAAACAAAACCTTTAGTAGGTAGAGCTGTTGCCTGAGATACCAGCAGCCCACATGGGTACCACCTCAAGTCCTAGATGCCCCTCTTCCGATGCAGCTCCTTGCTAATGTGCCAGAGAAAGCAGCAGAAGATGGCCCAACTGTTTGGGCCCCTGCCACCCACATGGGAGACCCAGATGGAGTTCCGGCTCCTGGCTTCAGCCTGGCCCAGCCCTGGCCATTATGGCCATTTGGGGACTGAACCACTAGATGGAAGATTTTCTCTTTCTCTCTCTTCCCCTGCAACTTTGCCTTTCAAATAAGTAAATGAATCTTTAAAAAACAGAAACCTCAAGGGACAAGAACTTGTTTTGGAAAGCAATTTACCCATTGCAGAGAAATCAAAAGGAGCATTTCTAAAATACTGATTTTTCAACTTACCAGAAAGTGGACGCCATGATGCGGTTATTAGAGACACCCTATTTGAACCAAATGCCTGAGAGAGAAGAAAATGTACAACTTGACTCTTTAAAATCCAAGTCTCAAGACAATAGGAAGGGACAATCACGGCAAATGATGGCTGTTTTAAACATGTCACCAACACAACAGTGAGATCATCTAAGTAAGAGTACAGCAAACGGGGTTGCGAGGAGGAGTTCTGAATTAACTAATAATGATGCTTTCATGGATGTTCTCTGTTATACAGGCACAGATATAGAAGGGCTCACATCTCCCAGTACTGGGGAGAAGATGGGTTGGAAATCAGTGAACTCACAGGTTTCATTTATAAAGAAAGAAGCAGACTTGTGGAAACCACGTGGTAGTGGGGACATTCCGAAACTCAAGAATACTACAAGGAAACCACTAGTAACTCCAGGACAGGTGTTGCGTTCAGCCGTGAAGCCACCATGTGGGAGACCCACATCCCATAGCGGGAATGCCTGGGTTCCGGTCCTGGCTCTGCTTCTGATCCAGCTCCCTGCTAATGCACACCCCGGGAGGCAGAAGTGATGGCCCGTGTGGGAGATTGGTATTGAGTTCCCAGATCCTGGCTTCAACCCCAGCTGTTGTGTACATTTGGGGAGCGATGTAGCAGATGGAAGATATCTCTGTCTCTGTCTCTCTGACTTACAAATATATAAAAATGAATTTTAAGCAACTTTTACAATGTCATCCAAAAGCTGAATTCCACAGCTCGCCTAATTTATCAATGCAACTTAACTCTTCTTATCAAAAATGCATTCCAGGTTCCGGTGCTGTGGCGCAGTGAGCTAAGCCTCCACCTGCAGGGCCAGCATCCTATATGGGTGCTAGTTCGTATCTCGGCTGCTCCATTTCAAATCCAACTCTCTACTAACGCACCTGGGAAAGCAGTGGAAGATGGCCCAAGTGCCTAGGCCCCTGTACCCACATAGGAGACATGGAAGAAGCTCCTGGCTTCTGATCGGAGCCATTGTAGCCATTTGGGGAATGAACCAGTGGATGGAAGACCTCTCTCTCTCTGGCTCTGCCTCTCAAATAAATAAATTAAAAAAAAAAAAAGCCCACTCCATTTATTGGATGGAGTTTCACATATCATCAGGATGAGATAATGTAAGTATTTGCCCTTTCAGAATCTCCTCACAAGCACACATGCCTGTGAGAACCTAAAGCGATACTGAGACGGGAGGACCAGGACCCCACTGGTGTCCATTCAGAGGCACCCGGCCCTGGGTGTGAGGGCTGTGCACTGTGTCTGGCCAACGCTTGAAGGGATGCAGAAACCACACAAAGACTGCACACTGGGGCTCTGAGCGCATACTTCCCATGGCCTCAGGTAACTTACAAGTGTGTGTGTGTGTGTGTGTGTATTAAAGATGTATTTATTTGAGAGAGAGAGAGAGAGAGAGAGAGAGAGAGAGAGAGAGAGAGTGTGTGTGTGTGTGTCATTCTTCTATCTGCTGGTTCACTCCCCAGGTGGCTGCAATAGCCGGAGCTGTGCCGATCCAAAGTCAGGAGCCAGGAGCTTCTTCCAGTTGTGAGTGCAGGGGCCCAAGGACTTAGGCCATGTCTACTGCTTTCCCAGGCCATAGCAGAGAGCTAGATCAGAAGAGCAGCAGCCAGGATTTGAACTAGCATCCATATAGGATGCCGGTGCTTCAGGCAGAGGCTTAACCTGTGCCACAGTGCCAGCCCCAACTTACAAGCTTTGCATCTGAGTTTTCCCCAATAGCTTTCATGGCTCTAGGAAGCTGCCCTCTTCCTCCAGCCGATTAACTAAGGCAACACCTCACACCCTTCTAGGATCCTGAGCGGAGGTAGAGAGAGAACTGCTGACTAATTTTGGGAACAAGTAACCTGGCTTAAAAATAAAAAGTGGTCTTTGGGATACCTAGCTCTTCGTTATCCAAATAGTCTCATCAAATTCACCCACTGAATTAACAAGAATTACTCACGGGGGTATTTGGCCTGGTTAAGAAACCAGTCACGATACCTGCACCCCATACCGCAGTCCCTGGCTTGCGACAGCTTTGGCTCCTGACTCTGGCTTCCCACTAATGTGCACCCTTGGGAGCCAGCTGAAGTAGCTGCACTCCTGCCACCCATGAGGGAGACTTGCATCGAGTTGCCAGCTCCCAGCTTCGACCTGGCTCAGCTCCAACAGAGCTCCAGCCATTGAGGGAATTTGGAGAGTGAACCAGCAGGGTAGGGCTGGAGTAGACCCTCTTTCTCTCTCTCTCTGAATAAATCATTCATTGAATAAAAATGCCGTATAAACCAAATCAATAAACCCATACAATATTACTTGCAAGTCAGTTACTTCATTAAAATTTTAACTGCTAAATTTTGTACATGTTGGGGGCCGGCGCTGTGGCATAGTAGGTTAAGCCTACTTTGTGCAGTGCCAACATTCCATATGAGCACCAGTTCGAGTCCCGGCTGCTCCACTTCCAATCCAGCTCCCTGCTAATGCACCTGGAAAAGCAGCAGGGAATGGCTCAAATCCTTGTGCCCCTGAACCCATGTGGAAGACCTGGAAGAAGCTCCTGGCTCCTGGCTTTGGCCTGGCCCAGGCCATTGCAGCCATCTGGGGAGTGAACCAGTGGGTGGAAGACCTCCCTCTCTCTCTGTATCTCAGCGCTTGAGATGAGATTGGGGAATTTGGGGTCTGAACGTTAAGCCTTAAACTGTCAACACCCAAAGTCACCATAAGCCAGAAGCCATGCTGGAGCACTGGAAATGTGTCTGACCTTCTAAACTTCTCCAGAATCCTCACATATCATCACCCAACTTAGAACATGATTGTGCTTCCGTGTGTGTGTGTGTGTGTGTGTGTGTGTGTGTGTCTCACAAGACCACGACGAAAATTCCTGAATGTCTCCAGCAGCCATGCCAGGCTCTTGTCTGCTTCCTGAATGGCTGAGCGGGGTGACATCCGGTCCCTAAGAGAAAAGAAACCTGCAGCTAGGTAAGAAAGAGACCAAGCGGGTGTGTCTTTGTTGGCAGAGGAGTGGGGGCTTGCTGTAGTCCTGTGATGACGACAGGAGCCACACAGAGCAAGTTGCTCAGGACGAGAAAGGAACACAGGCGGCCCACAGGAGCCCACCCACAGGGACGAGGGCTCTGGAAACACCAGGCATCTCACTGCAGTACGCGCCCCACTGCTCGATGCAGCGGGAGGTTGTTGAGAGACAACGCGGAGCAAAGTTGGGGGGGGCCTGGTTGCAGCCCCTCCCTGCACGATTGGAGCTGCCTTTGGCAGTGAACCCTGGATGCAAGAAGAGAGCCGGCGGCTCAGCGCACCGGCTTACCCACCAGAGCTGCCAGTTTCACTGGGTGGGACGTGGCCGCGATCGCCCAGGAATTTTTCCCCCCTTAATCTTTAAATGGCTCTGTACAAAAGCAGCAATCCACATTCTAGTTGGGCATTCATGCCATGGGGCCTGATTGGCCGACACAGAGCTGCGGATGGATGCCAACCACTCCCAACCCATGGGAGCACCTCCCCGACCCTGTCCATTTTTATCTGCTCCATGGCCACAGACGGCACCTGCAGCTACAGCCAGGTGTTCTGGAAACGTGTGTGTCCCTGGGGCCTCAGAGCAAGATGGCCCAGCAGTTGTTGGAGCCATCCTTGGCAGGAGAGAGATCCACTCCGCTCTGGCCCTTGGGGTCTGTGAGCGCATCAGCAGCGAGACTGGAATAGGGGGCTCACACATTCGGAACCACTGCAGTCTGTGTTGGGAAAGGAGATTTTCCACGGTGCTCCGGGGGACGCTGGCTCCTGCATGTTCTTTAGGCGGTCTACACTCCAAGCACAAGTACAGCTAGATTTCCTTCTCCCTCCTGTTGCTACGCTGACATAACTGTTGAGCTGCGTACCCGTTCAGTTACCCAACAAAGATACGCTGTCAACAAGGCTATAGCGGTCGGCGGCAGTTTGAACCACAGTGGCTCTGCTTCCTTTCTAGTTCCCTGCCAAGTGGCCTGGGAAAGTAGTGGAAGACGACCCAAGTCCTTGGGCCCCGGCCACCCACCTGGGAGACCTCAATGGAGATCCAGGCTCCTGGCTTCCGCCTGGCCCAGCCCTGGCTGTTGCAGCCACTTGGGGAGTGAACCAGCGGACGGAAGCGCTCTCTTGCTCTGTCACTTTGCCTTTCAAACAAAGAATAACAGAAGATGCTCCATTTGCTGCTCACCACACAAACCCTCAGTGAAGAATTCACTGAACTGTGCGCTCGGGCTTTGGGAACTTACCTGATGCCTTACTTACTCTTCCAATCAGAGTTCTTCAAACAAGCAAAGGAAGTGATCAACAGGCACTCCCAGTGCTCAAGGAGCTGCTCTTTGAACACACTTGCCCCACCACGTTTATGGAGAAAGAGCTCCTAGGAGAAGCGAGAGAGGCCCAGGGCTAGTTTTCCTGGTCTGTTGGCCCTTCCCTGGCCCTCTGTCCCAGGGGTCCCTTTGCAGGGGGAGGTGCTTGAAAAACACACAGTTTCATTCATTCATGGCCATGCCCCAGTCTCTCAACACCACAAAGGGAAACGTTTAGTCTCTCTCTCCATTAACTGATCTGCAAGGCTCCTCACGTTCCTGGGTTCCTGGAGGGGCCTCGCTTGATGGCATTTAGGGATGGGAACGGGGTGGGGGGGGGCTGTCTGGGCCCCCTGGTGCCACTTCCCCTGTGTGCATCTGCAACTGGGATTCTCTTCCCTGCTTCGGAAGCTGACAGAGGGAGCCTGTGGCATGCCCCACACTGGAGGAAAGATCCTGCTATGGCGTGTCTTCATGGAGGAGGCCCTTCCCAAGGACACTGGCACAGCCCCTCGTGCACTCCCACCACGGGTGCCCGGGACCCAAGAGCTCCTGCCAGACCGTGCCATAGGCAGGGTGGCCTCTGGGTGGGTGGGAGGGAGCATTGGGGAGGCCCGCTGGTTGCCTGCAAGGCAGGCTTGGAACACTGCGGGTCCATGGCACTGGGCACCCTCTGCAGAGAACCTTCCAGTCCCTTCT